CCTGCGCCAAGGCCACATGGTGCCATTCCCGCCGCGGAGAGGGCAGGACGGAGAAGGGGCACGCACTTTTGCGCGGGCGCCCTCGTGCCCGCGAATCCCCTCGCCCCACAACCGCTCGCCGTCGACCACCTCCCTCCCTCCCCTCTCCCCCCCCCCCTTGTATGCCCATCTCGCACCTCGCCTGCACTGGCCCTCCCCTCGCTGACACGACCTTCGCTCCTGCGCCGGCTGCGCTGCCCGCCCCTCTCCCTCCCTTGCCCCCGCCCCCCTCTGCCCCCCCACTCTCACACACAGATATGGTCGACTTTCAATTCGACACGCTTTCTTGGTTCCTCCTCAGTGCCATCGGTGTCACTGCCCTGGCCCTTCGCTACCGCAACGGTCTCATGAGCCCCCCGGATCTGACCTTCTCGCGCTCCTCGCGCCAGGCCCTGCCAGTTGAGGGCACGCGTCTTGAGGTTCGTCCGGTGTCCCCCCGCCCTCTTACTCCCCGCCCCCACTTTGACGACACCGGACCGTGGACACACACACACACACACATCTACATATCTGCTGCTCCCTGCTTGTCCTCCTCGCTCGCCTTCCCCCTTTCCTTCGTCCTGTCCTGACCCCCGCCACCTCCTCGCATCCACCCCTGCGGGGAACTCAAAGGGCGAGACCGCCACCTACCGGTCATCCTCCCTCCCTCGAGATGCACCCCTGATCAAGGAGATGATCGCCCCCCTGGCGCATGCCAAGACCCTGTACGACATGTTCCTCAATGGGCACTCGATCTCCCGGGACCGCCCGTGCCTGGGCCAGCGCCGCCTTGGTGACGAGTCGGCCCCCTTCGAGTGGCGTACCTATCATGAGACTCTCGTCCAGATGGAGGGTCTCGGTGCCGGTCTCACCAAGCTCGGTGTCCCCACTGGCCAGGGCGAGGGTGCTTCCATCGGCATCTTCATGCGCAACCGCCCGGAGTGGACTATCGGCGAGTTCGTGCGTGTCCCATCCTAAAAGTCCCCCGCCGGGTGGCCGCGCTCGCCTCCGCTCCGCCCCCCCCCCCTCGCCTCTTTTGTTGCCGCCTCTCGGCGCCTCGCCATCCCCCTAACCCTGCCCTGTTCCTCGCTTCGGGTCCCCCTGCCGATCCTTCCCCTCGCTCTCTCCCATGCTCCCTCGCCCCCTGTGGCCTGCCCCGGCATGCGGCGCTCCTCCCTGTCCTCGCCCCGGGGGGCTGGCTCCAGTCTTGCTACCTGTACAGCCGCTCGCTGATCCCGATCTATGACTCCTTCAAGTGTGACCAGCTGAAGCCCATCATCCAGGGCCAGGCCATGCGTGCCATCATCGCCACCTCGGCGCAGATCGACATCCTGCTCGCCGGTCGCGAGGAGTTCCCCTCGCTGACGATCTTGGTTTGCGTTGATCCGTGCGTGTGCCTCCTTGCGTCTCTCTCTCTCTCTCTCTCCCCCCCCCCACTCCCCTGAGCTGGGGCCGGATGTCTTTTTTTTTATCCTCCACTTTGGCTCTGACTTGTTGAGACCACGCACCCGCGCGTGCCCTCCATATAACACACACACGCGTGCCCGTAAAATCGCCTGTACAGGATCACCGAGAGCCAGCGCGCCCTCTCTACCGAGAAGGACCTTCGTCTGATGACCTTCGACGAGGTGGTTCAGCTCGGCAAGGACAACCCCCTCCCTCACCAGCCCCCCTCGTTGGACGATGTGGCTGTGGTCTGCTACACTTCCGGCACGACCGGCACCCCGAAGGGCGCCATGCTGACGCACGGCAACATCATGGCCGTCATCGCCGCCGTCTTCTACGACTTCCCGATGACCGTCCAGCCGGACGCCAATGACCGCTACCTGTCCTACCTCCCGCTGGCGCACATGCTGGAGCGCATCATCCATTTGCTGGTCTTCTCGGTGGGCGCCAAGATCGGCTTCTACCGCGGTAGCGTGCTCCAGCTCCCGGCCGACATGGGTGCGTATTGGTCCCCCCCCCCCCCCCCTGTCTTTCCCCCTTCGTCGCCATTTTCGTGCACCTCTGTGCCTGGGGCTGAGGAGGGTCTGCGGCACCTCCGCCGGGGAGAGGGCGCGCGTGGGAAGGGGACACACCCCGCCGATTTGACTTGCCACAAGCCTCCCCCTCTCAGGACGTTTTCCCCACTGACACGGCACCATCTGCCCCGGCTGCGCCTGGCCCGCCCGCCCCCCCCCCCCCCCCCTCGCCCTGGCTCACAGAGCTCCTCGATCCGACGTACTTCGTTTCGGTGCCGCTCATGCTCAACCGTGTGTACACCCGTATCATGGCGACTGTCGAGAACTCGGGCTTCATCAAGCGCTCGATCTTCCACCTGGCTTATCAGCAGAAGCTGGCCCTCCTGGATCGCGGCATCATTCGCCGTGATACCATTTGGGATCGCTTGGTCTTTGACAAGATTCGTGTTCGCTTCGGCAAGAGCTTCAAGGGTACGCTTCTGTCGGTGCCCCTTTTCCTCCCCATGCTCGCTGGTGGCCTCCTGCGCACCAAAAAAAAAAAAAAAATAATGGGCCGCACGCCAGCAGCGGCAACGCCAGCCGAATGCTAACGCCCTTTTGCCTCCCTCTCTCCCTCTCCCCCTCCCCCTCCCCCTCCCCCTCCCTCTGCCAGCCATTGTCACCGGTGCCGCCCCGATTGCCCCCGAGGTGAAGAAGTTCTTCCGCATCGTTTGTGGCTGCCCCCTGATCGAGGGATATGGCCTGACGGAGACGTCGGCCGTGTCGACCCTGCAGCTGATCGGCGACTACAATGACGCCCACGTGGGGCCTCCCCTCCCCTGTGCGGAGGTCAAGCTGGTCGACGTGCCGGAGATGGGGTACTTCGCCTCGGACGAGCCCAACCCCCGTGGCGAGATGTACATCCGCGGCCCGTCGGTCTTCAAGGGGTACTTCAACGAGCCGGAGCTCACGGCCAAGGCCCTCACCGCGGACGGCTGGTTCCGCTCTGGGGACATTGCCGAAATCCTGCCGGCCGGGAACTTCCGCCTGATTGACCGGCGGTCCAACTGCTTCAAGCTGGCCCAGGGTGAGTTTGTGGCCCCGGAGCGCATTGAGAATGCCCTGGTCGGCGCGGGCCTCGTGGAGAATGTCTTTGTCTATGGCGACACCAGCCGGTCCATGCTGGTGGCCATCGTCGTGCCGGATATCGAGTCGCTCCGTGAGTGGGCCGCCGAGCGTGGCACCCCGGCCGAGTCGGTCACCCTGGCATCCATGGTCGACAACCAGGACCTCAAGCTGGCCATCGAGAAGAACATCCGCGCTGCGGCCCAGGCCCGTGGCCTCCATCGGATCGAGACCCCGGCTCGGATTACCCTGCACTCGGAGCCCTTCTCCGTGGAGAATGGCCTCCTGACGCCCACCTTCAAGCTTCGTCGGCCGGCTGCCACGGCGGCCTTCCGCTCGCAGATCGACGAGATGTACGCGGATCTGGCGCGCAACCCGCCCAAGCGCCCGACCTCGACTGCTGGCAGCGGGACTCAGGCCGCTGCCGCGGTTCCCTGCGGCGCCTCCAAGGCCGACTAGAGCGCAGAGAGGGGGGGGGGGGGACACGCGCGCGCATGGATTCGTATGTGTGTGTGTGTGTGTGTGTGGCCACACATCTGTGTGCGTATGTATGTATGTATGTGTGTGTTTGTCCTTTTTCGTCCCGGAAAACCCACCACATACACACAAAGGAGAGGGAGGAGGAGACCCCAGGGCCGAGGGGAGGAGAATGTGACGGCGCGCGCGCGCGCGCGGCGCCCCGACGACACACATGTAAGTGGCATGGCAGCGGCATGGGGAAAGGCAAGAGCGGACACGACGATGGCCCTGTGTCCTCCCATGGCGCTCGCTGCGCGCCCCTCCTCGTCTATTCCTCTCCACATGCCTTTGCACCCTGCCTCCTGGATGTGTCTTTCCTCTTCCCTCACTCTTGCTTCCTTCCGCGTGCGCGAGCGCGCTCGCGCATGTGCAACCTCTCCTCTCCTACGAGATAAGGATGTCTAAATAAAAACATATGTTTGTTCACCAACATGTGCATGCACGGCAGCAAGTGGGTCTATCTGTGTGTGTGTGTGTGTGTGAGAGAGAGAGAGAGAGAGAGAGAGAAAGGAGCAAGAAGGTAGCCACAGCGGGCGTCGCAGCGGATCACCCACTCGGCAGTAAAGACAGAGCCCGGGCCCGTTCAGCGCAGAGAAAGAGGAGGACATCTTAGTCCTCCTGGACACCCAGAGGTGCAAAGGACGACTGCCCCCCCCCTCCCCCCCCCAGACACACACATATCTTGCACTTGGCTGGGGATCAACCCTGCGTGACTAGGACGACGGGGAGAAGCACGCCGATCAGGGTCGTGGAAAAAGTAGGCGGCCTGCGCAGAGCGGCCCACGATAAGAAGACGGTCCGCCCGTCGGCCCCAAGCACCCGGCACGGGCTCGGCCCCGCGGCAGGGCACCCAAGCCAGAAAGCAGGTCCTAAATCATTGAACTAAATGGGCTCCCTGTCCCGTGACATGGCGTGATCAAGGCCGACAAATCAACCAGCCCTCCTCCATGTGTCTTGCCCATCCCCTGCCCTTCGGTGCGGATGTGTCCGTCTGCAAGTGCGTGGGAGGGTGGCAAGGCTAGGAGGGCGCTGCCTAGTGCGAGGGGGAATTCTCACAGGAAGCATGTTACCAAGGGTGGGCGGGCGGGCTTGCGCACTGGTGCCTGCCCGCACGCGCTCCGCGGCCTCCAGGTTGTTTCTGCGTGTGGGGTATCGCGAGCCGGGGGGTTACGCGACTCTCGTGGGGGCGGGGGCGGGGGCGGGGGGGTGAGAGGGGCCGTTCCCTTGTCCCCCCCCCCCCCCCCCCCCCCCTGGTGCGCGGGCTGAGGCGCCGGGGTCGGGGAGGGTCCCCAACGCCGAACATCTGTGCCAACCAACCGGCCGAGGCTCGCCCAAGTCGCCGCGTCCCGTTTTGGCCGGGCAGCCCACCCGAGGATTGGGGGGACCTCGGGGACAGGGAGAGAACGAGAGAGAGAGAGAGAGAGAGAGAGAGAGAGAGGGCGAGAGAGAGGGCGAGAAAGAGGGAGTAACATCGGGGAACTCAACACCTCCGGGACATGCCACGGATGAAGTCACGGTTCTTGGGCTGGCGTGGCGCATGGGGCCGCCTGCTCCCAGGGGTCGACTAGATTGTGGTTGGCATACTCTCCTCCTCTCTGTGTGGCCTTCCCTCTTCTCTGTCCCCTCCCTCGCTCCTCTTCGCGCCCGCCCCCTCTGTCGCGATCTCCCCCCCCCCCTCGCGCAGTCCCCCCAGTCACCATGCTGTCCCGCTTCACCCACGGCGTCGTGAGCGCCACCCGCCAGCACGCCCGCACTGCGGTTCGTCCTCCCCTCCTCTGCTCTCCCCTGGCCATGCGTGCTCGTTTGGGAGGGATGGGGGAATGGCGGCCGTGCCGCCATGGCCACCATCGCCACCGCCGCTGCCGCTGCTGTCCTTTTTGAGGGTCTCGCCTTTCTTTCTAACCCAGGACTTTTTGCTTTTCCCCCCGGCCACACGTAGGCGCCCATGGCTGCCTTCTACTCTTCCAAGCCGGTGCGCCTGGGCCTCTTTCCCATTCCCCCGCCCCTTCGGCTCCGCCCCCCCCCTGCTCGTGCGCTCCTGCGATCTAACCACTTCCATGCACCTGTGCGGTCTCCTGTGTCTGCTGCAGTCCCCCCTGGCTCGTCTCGAGGAGCTCCGCGAGAAGGCTGCCCTCGGTGGCGGCCAGGCCCGCATTGATGCCCAGCACGCTCGCGTACGTTGCTCCCCCTCCTGGCCCCTCTCCCGCCGGTCCTCCTGTGGCCCGATACTGATTGCCTTCCCCCTTGCCTGCTCTGCACACAGGGCAAGCTCACCGCCCGCGAGCGCATCAACCTCCTTCTGGACCCCGGCTCGTTCCGCGAGACCGACATGCTGGTCGAGCACCAGTGCTCCTCCTTCGGCATGGAGAAGAACAAGGTTCGCCGACCTGCTGACCCTGGGGTCTCCCCCCGCGCCCCCCTCTTCCGACAACCTGTCTGCCCGTCTCCCTCTCTCCCTCCCTCCCTCCCTCCTTCGCTCTTCTCCCCGCCTGCTCGCCGCTCACCCAGCCCGGCTTGCCCCTCGCGATTCGTGCCTTCCCTCTTATAGATCCCCGGTGATGGTGTTGTCACTGGCAGCGGTACTGTCAATGGTCGCCCGATCTTCGTCTTCAGCCAGGACTTCACCGTCTTCGGTGGTGCCCTGTCCAAGGCTTACGCTGGGAAGATTTGCAAGGTACGCTCGTGCTTCCCTCCTCCCCGCCAAAAGGGCGGGCGGCACCCGTGGAAACCCGGCCCCGCGCATGTCTGTCCCTCAGCCCTATCCTGACAGCCCCGTGCCCCGACTCGCCGGTCCTGCCTCTCTCTCTCTCGGGCCCTGTGCCTGTCTGCCTGTCCCCCCTCCCCCCACTGGCGCCAAAGATCATGGATAAGGCCATGTCCGTTGGTGCCCCTGTCATCGGCCTCAACGACTCCGGTGGCGCGCGCATTCAGGAGGGTGTCGACTCGCTGGCCGGCTATGCTGATATTTTCCAGCGCAACGTCATGGCCTCCGGTGTCATTCCCCAGATCTCCCTGATCATGGGTCCCTGCGCCGGCGGTGCGGTCTACTCTCCGGCCATCACCGACTTCACCTTCATGGTCCGCGACTCTTCCTACATGTTCGTCACTGGCCCGAACGTCGTGAAGACCGTCACCAACGAGGATGTCACCCAGGAGGAGCTCGGCGGTGCCAAGACCCATACTTCCAAGTCCGGTGTCGCGGCCCTCTCCTTCGACAACGATGTCGAGGCCCTGGCCCGGTACGTGCACATTGAGCACTTGCCCCCCCTCCGCGTGCTCTTGCTGAGCCTCCCATCTTGCCGCCATCCCGGCCCCTCCCCCCCGCCCCCCCCCCCCCCCCCTCCTCTGACATGCCCCTTCTCTTGGCCTCAGCCTGCGCGACTTCATCGACTTCCTGCCGCTCTCCAACACCGAGAAGCCCCCTCAGCGCGCCACTCTGGACCCGGTCAACCGCGATCTCTCCTCCCTCAACCACATCGTCCCCTCGGACCCGACCAAGGCCTACGACATGAAGGACATCATCACCAAGATCGCCGATGACAACACCTTCTTCGAGGTCATGCCCGACTATGCCAAGAACATTGTCATCGGCTTTGCCCGCATGGACGGCAAGACCGTGGCCGTGGTCGGCAACCAGCCCATGGTGGCCTCCGGCTGCCTGGACATCAACGCCTCTGTCAAGGCCGCCCGGTGGGTGCGCTTCTGCGACGCCTTCAACATCCCCATCATCACCCTGGTCGATGTGCCGGGCTTCCTGCCGGGTGTCAACCAGGAGCTCAACGGCATCATTCGCCATGGTGCCAAGCTCCTGTACGCCTATGCCGAGGCCACCGTCCCCAAGATCACCGTCATCACTCGCAAGGCCTACGGTGGTGCCTACGATGTCATGGGCTCCAAGCATCTGCGCGGTGATGCCAACTACGCTTGGCCCACCGCCGAGGTGGCCGTCATGGGCGCCAAGGGTGCCGTGGAGATCATCTTCCGCAACCGCTCCCCCGAGGAGCTGGCCTCCCTGGAGGCCGACTATGTGGAGAAGTTCGCCAACCCCTTCGAGGCCGCTCGTAAGGGCTACATCGACGATGTCATCCAGCCGGCCGAGACCCGCGCGCGCATCATCGAGGACCTGGCCGTCCTGGAGCGCAAGAAGATCTCCAACCCCTGGAAGAAGCACGGCAACATCCCCCTGTAAAGCAGCAACGGCAGAAGCGTAGCACCAACACCGGGTAGCCGGACTTGTCCACGCGCGCGCGCGCGCGTGTGCGTGTGTGCGTGCGTGCGCCTGCATGTGTGCGTGTATGTCTCCCCGCCAAAGGGGGGGCGGGGCTCTCTGTCATGTCCCTCCCTTGCTTTGGTGGTCGTCAGCCGACAGGGGCTCAGGGGGGTGGGGCCGCCGCTCTTTTCAAACACAGGAGCACATGTGTCTACACTGTGGCGGGTGTGCCCGCGACTGTGTGCGTGCATTCCACCGCGCACGCACGCCTGCGCACACCTGAAGCCCCGGCCCCGCCACCATCTGCCATCCCATCCGCCGCCCCTGCCCCGGCAACGCAAACCGGCAACACGCGCACACACACCCACCCTGCTGCCAACACAGGCCAACATCTATATGCCGGTGTACATGCGTGTGTGCATGTGTGCTCGTTGCTCTCCGGCTCCGTGTCGCCCTCTTGAATTCCCCCCTTAAAAAAATACACGCGCTATCATGTGTCAAATCCCTCTGCGTATGGGGGGGGGGAGGGGGGAGAGCGTCCTCCTCTCGCTGTTTGGCCTTGTCGGCCAGCTCTTCTCCCGATGGGGCGCTTCTTCTTCTTCCTCTTTTCCACGAAGACAACACCCACCTAATCATTGTCGTCCCTCCGCGTGCCTCTCTCTCTATCTCTCCCTCTTGCTGTCCCGGTCAGCAGTGCCATCTGCCTCGAGACAAATGTGTGCGCGCTCTCAAGAAGACACATGAAATCACACCAGGGCCCGGGCAGAGGGGCGGGGGGATGGACACAGGGAGAAACATACACTCTAGGGGGGATAATATAGTGGGTATTTCAAGGACAGGGGGGGGGATGTATGTTTGTGGGTGGGGCGCGCAGGAAGCAGGGGCAGGGGGGGGAGGGATGTGGTGCGTAGGTGACGAAAAGAAAAGGAGCACAAACACCGGAAGGAGAGACAAAAGGACGGGCACAGAGGCGAAAACCGTGGCCGAGTCAGGCCGCCAAAGGAAAGAGGATAAGGCAGGGATGGCAGGCTGAGGAATTGGCCAAAGAAAAGTCTCGCTTTTGAGGGCCTCCACATGTGCCCCAGGGGACGTTCCGAGGGGGGGGGGGGGGGGGGGGAAGGGGGGAGACGGAAAAAAGGGACCGCCCTTGGCAGATGCACCCCCCCCCCCCCCCCCCCCCCCCCGCGCCTCCGCCCCTTGCTCACGCATTCCGGCAGAGTCGCCCTCAAATGTCGGAGTGCATCCCGTCATCGGCAAGGACAAGTCGGGCGGGCGGTGCCCGGGCGGCAACAGGCGCAGCAGAGGCAGCGGCAGCCCCGGCCTCTCCGGCGACCAGGCGCCGCGGCGGCGGCGGCAGGATGTCGTCCGGAGGGGGCTTCGATGGCCGGGGAGGTGGACCCCGGCGGCGGCTCTTGGCCGCCGGGGCCGTATTCAATGGAGTCGCAAAGGAATCGTCGAAAACATCGCCAGTGCGCAGGGAATTGATCAGGGCATCTAGTTGGCCATCTCCCTGGACATCGCCGGAAGGCGGCTCGGCCTTCTTGATCTCCCGGGCCAGAGCCCGAGCCATGTCCTTCGGGTTGAAGTCCTTCGGCAGGCCGGCGGCCTTCTCCTCGGGCTTGCGCTTGCGCTCCAGGGCAAGGCGCCACTCGGCCAGGTCGTTGCGTGCCTCGGTCCACTGAACGCCAAAGCGCCAGAAGACACTGAAGAACTCCTCCGGGGTGACGGAATTGGGATCCTCCCCGAAGAGGGTGGCCTGCTCGGTGAGCAGGTTCCGCGCCTGGTCAAAGGCCTTCTCCATCTTGGCCAGGGCCTTGGAGCTTTCATCGTAGAAGGGACGCATGACCTCCAGGAACCGACGCACATCGGCCGGGGCGGCATCGGGCCCGCCGGCCGCCGAGGAGGCCATCTTGTCGAAGGCCTCCAGCTCGGCCTCCAGTTGGTTGACACCACGCCGGAGGAAGGTCATCTCGGCCTGCAGGGTTGGCAGCGAGACGCGCACCGCCTCGGCCGCCGGCTCGAGCTCCTCCACAAAGGCCATCAGGGCAGGATAGCGTGTCTCCACCACCTCCACCAGGAAGTGCAGGAGCGTGTGTCGATCAAAGTCCGCGTGCGAACTGCGCGTGTCGGAGAGCTACGGGACGTGCGGGAGGGGGCGGACGAGAGTTAGCTTGTTTGTCTCGCTCCATGGCCAGCTGGATCCTTCCGCAGCCGGGATCCCGACAGACCGGGTTCTAATGGCGGAGGAGGAGACGGCACGACAGCTGGCCGTACCTTGAGCAGCGCATCAATCTTGAAGCCATAGGCACCGCCACGGAAACCGGTGTTCAGATAATTCCCCACGGCTAGAATGAGCTCCAGGACCTGGCGGAACATGACCGCCGAGGAAAGGGCCGAAGAGCCGCCATTGATGCGAGCAATGTCGCGGGCGCACTCGCTGCTCTTCTCGGCGAACGTCCGCCGGAAGCTGATGCTCTCCAAGCGCCCCTGGAAGCGCTGGATCTTGCTCACCTGCGGGAGAGAGAGAGAGAGAGAAAGGGGAGGGGGCAACGCGAAGTGCAAGCCGTTTGCACGGGGGAGAGAGAGAGAGGGAGACAAGGGATTGAGGGAGGGGAAGCACCGAGGTGAGTAGGTGCCCGGTCGCAACGGATCATCCATGAAGCCAGGATGAGAGGAAGAAAAGGAACAAGGAGCGTGGTACGCACCTCCCAGAAGAATTTCTCGCAATCGCCCAGCTGATCGAAGTTGTCGATGTGCTCACGGATGAGGGTGATCTCCTCGTCGGTCGGGACAAACTTCAGCAGCTGCTCCGAAATGTCCGACTCGATGAACCCGGCATCCAAGAGGGTGATCTTGGACAGGAGCTCGGCACGTGGGAGCTTGGAGTTCTTGAGCAAAATCACTGCACGCCGAGCGGGGAGGGAGCAAAAGCGCCACAGGCAGGTCAGCAAAGGGTGATAGCGGCACTCGCGGCAGGGCGCGCAAAGCAAGTGAAAGCCCGGGGCCGGATTCCGATTTGGACTCGGACTCAAGCGACCAGGCAGGCAGGTGGGCGCGCATCAACGCACGGCAGTTTTGCGACCGACGGCCATCGATGACACAGATCTCGCGGGGCTTCTCCTCGGCTGAGGCGCCGCCGGCGGCACCATCGGCCGACTCGGACACCGGCTTCACATACACCGAGAAGAGGTTCTCCATCTCGTCGTATTGGGGCCGGAGAACGCGCAACGGGCCCTGATCGGACAAGTGCGACCAGAGGGTCTTGTCGATGGCGTGGTTCGGGATTTTGGTCCAGTTGAAGGCCTTCAGGGGCTTTTGCGACAGCTTGGCCGGCTTGTTTGGACGGGCCGAACGAGCGGCCGCCCCGGCACCGGGCATCCCCGGGGGAGGAGGCGGCGGCGGCGGGCCACCCCCACCACCCGGCAGGGGAGGCGGCGGCGGCGGCGGCGGCCCCCCGGCAAACCCAGGCAGGGGCGGAGGCGGAGGCGGTGGCGGACCACCGCCAGGCAGTGGCGGCGGCGGGGGCGGCGGCGCGCCACCAGCAAATTCCGGCAGTGGCGGAGGGGGCGGCGGCGGCGCGCCCGTGGGGAAGGTCCCGGGCATCGGCGGCGCCGGTGGCGGACCGCCGTCCGAAGCAGCGGCCTTTTCCAACTCGGCCTTTGCCTCAGCCAGGGCCTGGGGAGAGGGGGGGGGGGCGGAGGGGCGGAGGGGGAGGAGAAGGAGCGAGACACCGGAGGACCGTGTTAGCTTGGTTAGAGGAATGACCCAAAAGAAAAAGGGGAGATTTTCAGAAGCCCCCCAACAACGGGGGGGCAGGCACAGGGAGGAAAGCACCTTCTCGGAAAACTCCTTCAGAAGCTGCTCGATGTCCTGGTTTTCGGCGCCCAGGCGCTCGCGCACAAAGGCCGCAATCTTGTCGATCTCCAGCTGCGAAGCGCGCAGCTTCAGCTGGGCCTCCGGGTCGGCGGCAGCGGCCCCGGCGGCGTCCGACGGAGTGGCCGCCGGCTTCTCCTCCAGGCCCTCGACACCTTGGCTGGCCAGACGAGCCCACCGCTGGACCAGGGCCTGGATGCCATTGGCCGACAAGGCACCGGCAATGGCCGAGGGCGTGAAGTCGTGCGGCATCAATGCGGCCGTGGCCTCCGGCAGTGGATCGCCCGATTGCGGGTCACGCGGGACAATCACATACTCGGCCAGCTGCAACACCAGGCGGATGTAGTGCGGCCGCCGGACAATGCCACCCGGCATGGACACCAGCCGTCGGAAGAAGGCCACCCAGCACTCGCCCGAAGAGGGGGTAAACTGCACCGCCCGATCGAGGACCTCAAACATGGAACGCGTGTCCGAGAGATTGACCGAGGCGGGGAAGAAACCGCTGGACTCATCGGCCTCCGGCCAGTCCGGGACCTCCCGGAGGGCGGTGTGCGCGTCGCCAAGGTGCGGAGCCGCCGCCTCGCCGGCCTCGGCCGTCTCGCCACCGCGATTCTCCGTGCCCGGGCCGGCCGCCAGCAGCGAAGCCGTCGCCATGCCGGATGCCTCATCGATCGGGGCATCCGGCCGATCATCGGCGTCAGGCTCCTCCTCGCCCTCATCGCCGACAGGCAGGGCGGTGGGTCGAATGGTCTCATCCAGCTCCATGGCCAGCTGGTGCTCATCGAGGGCCAGGCGCCGGAGGAAAATCTGACACTGGCGCCGGACGATGGGGGTACTGACCCGGCGGAAGGACTCCGCATCCAGGGCCTCGGCCATGCGGGCCAGGAACTCCGGCGATTCGGCCGACGTGTCGGTCAGAGACCCGGCCACCGGGACTTGATCCACGCCACCGGCCCCGGCCGGACCGAGGGCCAACAAATCGGAGCTCATGCGCGGGCGCGATCCCTCCGGCAGGAAGTCCCCATTCAACAGGCGAACCATGTCCAAAACACCGGCATCGCACAGCTCGGCTCGGAGCTCCACACGGATGAGCAGCGAATCGCGGCACGGGCCGAAGGTGATCAGGGCATTGATCAGGGACAGGACCGAGGCCGCCAGCAGGGGCAGGCGCTCGGACACGGCGAAGGACAGGATTTGCACCAGCGGGCCGAGCCGGCCACGCCGGGGCCCGGTCATGACACACATGCGTGCCGACAGGCCGTACAGGGCGTCCAGCACGCGCGGATGCCGGCTGGGCGACATGCACAGGGCTCCCAGGATTTCCAGGGCCATGGACACCGTCTGGCTGCCACGCAGGGCGGACCGGCCCGCGAGGGCGGGCATCTGATCGGTGCTGCTGCCGCCGGCCGTGGCCACGGCCAGATCGCCCGGGTCCCCGGGGCTGGCGGGAAGGCGCCCGCGCGAGGACACGGCCACCGGCGCCGCGGCATGGTAGTACCGGAGTTCATTGGCCAGGATGACCACGGCGTCTTCGGAGTCGGCCACCCGCGCAAAGCCAAGGGCATTGTTCATGAGGGACTTCAAGCCGCGCAGGGCCAGCTCATCGTGATTCAGGGCGCGGGCCTCATCGCGGAGGTAGATCAGCAGCTCGGAGATGCCGCCAAGATCGTCAAACTCCCGGATCCAACTGATCGGCTGTGCTCGCAGCGAGACAACCATCCACTGGAGCAGATCCGAGGAGGGCCGCGAGCTGAGGGCATTCACCACGAACTTAATTTCGTGCGAGCGCTCGGATTGCTGTCCAGACGGACGTGCGGGCGTGCGGGCGTGCGGGCGTGGGGGCGTGGGGG